CCGATCCCCATCCCCGTCACCATCCCCTTCGAGACCCCCTAATATTATCCCCCCAGTTGGGGATACACCCTTCGAAACTCGACGGGAACGGCCTATATCCCCATCTAGGGGGGTAAATCGGCCAGTGGGGCCCGGGCCACGCCGCTGGGGATGGGGATCGGTTAAACGATACTCAGAGGGAACGCCTCCACAAAGGGGCTTGGCCGTACATCTATGGTGTGAAGTTGGAAAAAGGGCACTTCGCTCTTCATTTCGCGTGTCTTCTGGCAGTGCCATGATTGTGCGACCCGAAAACAAAACTCGGCGGCGTGCAGAGCGAGCAGGAGGAGGCCTTCTCAGAAGGCGGTGGGGCTTCTCAGAAGCCCTCGCGCCTCCTGGCAAGTTTTCCGCGTCTTCGGGGAAGGCTTTTAAACAGTTCTCAAGATAATAGAAAAGTCTCGGGAAGTTAAAAGTTCGGGGAAGGCTTCGGGGAAGGCTTCGGGGAAGGCTTTAAAACGAAAAGAAGTTCTCCACATATCGGAGGCCTTCCGAGTCCTCTGGAGGCCCGCCCCGTCCGACTTCCCCCCAGGCTCGTCGCCGAGGCAGACGCTGCAGCTCGGGTGCTGCGCGGTCGAGCTCCCGCGGGAGGCACTCTCTCCTCGAGGATCGGAGAAGCCCTAACCCTCACAATGCAGTGAAGGCGCGATCTCACCGAGGCCCCCGTCTTCGCATCAAGGGACCAGTCGATCTGGGCAGTTTGGCACGATACGTGTGCAGAAAGGACCCCCTTACCCCTGCTGTTCCAGGCCCTCCCAACTTGGGTCCACTCCCAAAGGGTCAGGGGTCCTTTTACCTGGTCCCCCGCGGTTGCGGATAAGAGAGAGGGGTGCCCATCCCCTGTGTCCACCTCAGTGTCCATCCCCAGTGCCCATCCCCAGTGTCCATCCCCAGTGTCCATCTCTAGTGTCCATCCCCAGTGTCCATCCCCAGCGCTCATCCCCAGTGTCCATCCCCAGTGTCCATCCTCAGTGTTCATCCCCAGTGTCCATCCCGGAGGCGAACCCTCCGGAATTGCCGGCGCACGCCTGGGGAAGAAGTAATCCCGTTCGGGCACCCCCCTCTCTGATACAGCCAAGACGCTGAAATAAGGAACCGTTCGGGTTGGAAAGGGGCTCGACGTTCCTTACATTCAGTAGGTCCGTCCATGGCTATCCCCGTCCACGCGGGCGGGTTTGGGGTCAAAGGAGGGGCTTCGTTCCGTATTTGGCGTTCCTTCTTTCAGCGGCCCGACTGTATGCCTGATCGCCCTTGGTCCCTCGCCCCCGCCTGGACCGCAGCCCCGGGCCCGGACCGCCGCACGGGGAGGCCTCCCAGCCGCGGCCGTCCTCGCGCTCTGCCTGGGCGGCGGGCGCGGGCAGGGGCCACGGCGCAGGTGCCGACGGGACAGTTGCGTCCACGGTCCAGCGTCGAGTCGGGCACGCCCTTCTACAGGAGGACTACCCCAAAAGTAGTAAAATATAGTCTGGGGATGATGTTCAGACTATCTTGACTATGCTTGATCATTGTTTAACTGCTTGTTTCGTCCAAAGTCCGCCTGTAGGAGGACGCGCCCGACCTAAGGCAAGATAGTTGCGTCCACAGCGAGCGTTAGAAAGCCCAGGGTTCGCTAGGGACTGGTTTCCGTTTCCCCTCCCCCCCAATACGACGAAGGCCTTTCCGAAACCCTCCCGAAGCCCTTCTTGAGAAGCCCTTGGAACCCTCCCAGAGGGTTTGCGCAGGGTTTCAGGAGGGCTTCGGCTGTTTCCCAGCGAGCCCTGGACTTTCTTTTTAAGTCTAGCGCAGGCGGTGTGGGCGGGACTGCCGCAGGGCCTCCCTGCCTCCGAGGCACCACGGAGGGCCGTGCCGGCAGCACGCTGCGAGCCGTGCCAGCCGGCGTGGAGCTTAGGAAGCCAGGGCAGCGCGCGGGCGCGCGCGCGCAGGAGCAGGAGGAGGAGGAGGAGGAGGAGGAGGAGGAGGAGGAGGAGGAGGAGGAGGAGGATGGGGGAGGAGGAGGAGGAGGAGGAGGAGGAGGAGGAGGCGGCGAAGCAGGGGGCGGAGGAGGAGGCGGAGGAGGAGGCGGAGGAGGAGCGGGAGGAGAAGGTGCGCGGCGACGAGGGGGGGCAAGGCCTCGGCCTCTGCTCCTCCGCAGAAGGCGTCCACACACCGCCGCCAGGCGCGGCCAGGGCCGCCCGGGGCCCCGGGGTGTGCTGGTGCTGGCCGCCCTGGGCCCCCTGGCCGCGGGCTCGCGCGCGGGCGCGCAGGTGGAGAGCAAGATGCGCGGCGACGAGGGGACCTCCCCTCTCTTCCAGGTGGTCGTGGAGTTCTTCAAGCCCGCCCGCCCGCCCGCCCGCCCGGCTTCGCGGCGCCGGCAGCCTCCGCTCCTCGCCGCCCTCTGTCGCCTCCCCTCCGCCTCCGGCACGCCTCCTTCCTCGTGGGGGCCGGCCGGGGGCCTGGGGCGTTCCAGCAGTGGCTCCGACCAGCAGGAAGGGGGACAGGTCCTGGATTCGAAGCGTTTTTGTTGTTGTGTTGTTGTTGGTGGTGGTTGTGGCGGTGTTGGCGTTTGTGTTGGTGTTGTGATTGTTATTGCTGCTGCTGTTGTTGCTGTTGCTGTTGCTGTTGTGGTTGCTGCTGCTGTAGCTGTTGTTGCTGTTGTTGTTGTTGCTGCTGTTGCTGTTGTTGTTGCTGTTGTTGTAGTTGTTGTTGCTGTTGTTGTTGCTGCTGTCGTTGTTGCTGTTGTTGCTGTTGTTGTTGTTGTTGCTGTTGTTGTAGTTGTTGTTGTTGTTGTTATTGTTATTAAACATTATTACTTCTAAAGAATAATTATTGTTGGGACCCCTGGTGCACGACCCCCCCGCCGCGCCTAGGCCGCAGCCTCATTTTCATCATTTTCGTGAGGAAGTCTCAGGCAAAACGATTGGTACCGGATCCGGTTGTTTTGTTGTAATCCGTTTTCCCTTGCAAAAAACACTATAAAATGAAAATTCTTGTTCTTACTTGATCAAATTGCAAGAATCCCTTGCAAAAAATAAGGTAAAGTGGACATTCGTGCGCGCAAGACGAAATCCTTCCAAAACCTTAGGTTTCGTAGCGATTTTAACATAAAAACATCAAAAACCCAATGGTTTTTTAAGAAAAAATTGTCAAAATGTCCTTCCGCGCGCGCTGTCCGAATCCTACAAAACCAATGGTTTTTCAACATTTATGTTACATGAGCTCGCGCGAGCTACTTTTTCTTGTTCTAACATAATCAAATTTCAATAATCCCTTGCAAAAATAAGGTAAAGTGGACATTCGCGCGCGCAAGACGAAATCCTTCCAGAACCTTAGGTTTCGTAACGATTTCAACATAAAAACATCAAAAACCCAATGGTTTTTCAAAAAAAAAGTCCAAATTTCATCCCGCGCGCGCTGTCCGACTCCCACAAAACCAATGGTTTTTCAACATTTATGTTACATAAGCTCGCGCGAGCTACTTTTTCTTGTTCTTACATAATCAAATTTCAACATCCCTTGCAAAAAAAAGTAAAGTGGACATTCGCGCGCGCAAGACCAACAAAAAACACGACGATCTCAGGAACTTGCCCCAAAAATGTGACCAACTCCGCTCTCTCTGTCTCTCTCTCTGTCTGCTCTCTGTCTCTCTCTCTGTCTGTCTGTGTCATGTATTGTATGTCACAATTGCAGGATGCTGGGCACACGCGCGCCCCGAATAAGTGACCAAGTTCTGTGGGTGTGTACCCCACGCCAGTGTAGTAGCCACGGTCGTCCGCACGCCACGAAGTGAAGTGTCCCAACGTCATAGGGCGGGAAGCTGGGTTTGGGTGGTCGCGAAGAGTCGTTTGGATATTTGGTAGAGCTTGTAATGCCCCCCCACGAAGTGGGGGTATTGCCTGGTGTCGTATGAAAACCCTGGCACTGGGGAGAACACCACGCGTTCGGGTAAAATGATTGTTGTTGTTGTTGTTGTTGTTAACATTATTTATTCTAAAGAATAATTATTGTTGGGACCCCTGGTGCGCGGCCCCCTCGCCGCGCCTAGGCCGCAGCCACATTTTCATCATTTTCGTGAGGAAGTCTCAGGCAAAACGTGGGTGTCCGGATCCGGTTGTTTTGTTGTCCCCCGTTTTCCCTTGCAAAAAATAAGCTAAAGTGGACATTTCTTGTTCTAACATAACCAAACTTCAAGAATCCCTTGTAAAAAATAAGGTAAAGTGGACATTCGCGCGCGCAAGACGAAATCCTTCCAAAACCTTAGTTTTCGTAGCGATTTTAACATAAAAACATAAAAAAAAAAAAAAAAAAAAAAAAAAAAAAAAAAAAAAAAAAAAAAAAAAAAAAAAAAAAAAAAAAAAAAAAAAAAAAAAACCAATGGTTTTTCAAAAAAAAATGTCAACATTTCATCCCGCGCGCTCTTGCGGATTTGTAGGAAACCCAACACTTTTTAAACATTTCTGTCAAACGGGTTTTTGCGAGCAACTTTTTCACGTGCTTCGAACTTCTCCAACAACGGTTGCGCACCTGCCAGGGCCATCATCCCTGTCAAATAATACCATGCGGGACACATTCGTTTTTTTCTTCGCGCGCGCACGCCGTCGTCGTCGGCCGCGGGGCCCTGAATAGTAGCCACGGTCGTCCGCATGCCACGAAGTGAAGTGTCCGAACGTCATAGGGCGGGAAGCTGGGTGTGGGTGGTGGCGAAGAGTCTTTTGGAAATTTGGTAGAGCTTGAACCGGCCCCCCCACAAAGTGGGGGTATTGCCCGCCTCCTATGAAAACCCTGGCACTGGTGAGAACGGAGTGTCCCCACGTGCTAGTTATTGTTGTTGTTGTTGTTGTTGTTGTTGTTGTTGTTGTTGTTGTTGTTGTTGTTGTTGTTGTTGTTGTTGAACATTATTTATTCTAAAGAATAATTATTGTTGGGCCCCCTGGTGCGCGCCCCCCCTGCGCCGCCTAGGCCGCAGCTACATTTTCATCATTTTCGTGAGGAAGCCTCAGAAAAGAGGGTGTGTACAGGATCCGGTTGTTTTGTTGTAATCCGCTTTCCCTTGCAAAAAACAATAGAAAATGACATTTCTTGTTCTAATATAATCAAATTTCAAGAATCCCTTGCAAAAAATAAGGTAAAGTGGACATTCGCGCGCGCAAGACGAAATCCTTCCAAAACCTTAGTGTTCGCAGCGATTTTAACATAAAAACATCAAAAAACCAATGGTTTTTCAACAAAAAATTGTCAAAATCTCATCCCGCGCGCTCTTGCGGATTCGTAGGAAACCCAACACTTTTTAAACATTTCTGTCAAACGGGCTTTTGCGAGCAACTTTTTCGAACTTCTGCGACAACGGTTGCGCACCTGCCAGGGCCATCATCCCTGTCAAATAATACCATGCGGGACACATTCGTTTTTTCTTCGCGCGCGCACGCCGAAATCTCCAAACACCATTGGGCTTCTTAAGAATTTTAGCACCGCGCATCATAAAATCACACGAACCGCACCGTAGGTCCTCGAAAAACACCTGCACGACTTTTCAAAATTTCTACCCGCGCGCGCTGTCCGATCAACTATCTTGTGAGTACGTATCATGTTTATCATGTGTATCATGTACCATATGCATCATATGCAACAGATGTTCTGTGGAAGGCTTAACAACTTCTGTGGGTTAACAAGGCTTAACAACTTCTGTGGGTGTACGAACGTAGGCTTAACAACTTCTGTGGGTGTGTACTCCACGCCAGTGTAGTAGCCACGGTCGTCCGCAGGCCACGAAGTGAAGTGTCCGAACGTCATAGGGCGGGAAGCTGGGTGTGGGTGGTGGCGAAGAGTCGTGTGGATATTTGGTAGAGCTTGCACTGCCCCCCCACAAAGTGGGGGTATTGGCTGGCGTCGCATGAAAACCCTGGCACGGGTGAGAACACTGAGCGTTCGGGTAAAGTGATTGTTGTTGTTGTTGTTGTTGTTGTTGTTGTTGTTGTTGCTGCTGTTGTTGTTGTTGTTGAACTCTCATTCTTGAAAAATAATTATTGTTGATCCCCCCCCACCGGTGCACATTGATTTTTGTTCGATTGAAGTGCCACCCCCGGGGCTCGCACTTTGTTTTTTCTAAAGGAAAGTCTTCCTGCTCAAACTGCGCCCCTGCCCCCCGGGCTACAACAACAACGGCTCCCGCCTGAGACTTCCTCGATTTTTACTCAGGACCCCCGCTCCCGCCTGAGACTTCCACGCAATTTACTCAGGAAAGGCGCTCCCGTTTGAGACTTCCTCGCAATGTAATCAAGACCCCCGCTCCCGCCTGAGACTTCCGTGCAATTTACGTGGGAACGGCGCTCCCGCCTGAGACTTCTTCGAATTTTACTCAGGACCCCCGCTCCTGCCTGACATTTCCGCGCAATTGACTCAGGAACGGCGCTCCCGCCTGAGACTTCCTCGCAATTTAGTGAGGACCCCCGCTCCCGCCTGAGACTTCCGTGCAATTTGCTCAGGAACGGCGCTCCCGCTTGAGACTTCCTCGCAACTTAGTCAGGGCCCCCGCTTCCGCCTGAGATTTCCTCACAATGTACTCAGGACTGCGCTCTCGCGTGCGACGTCCTCACAAATTATTATGGAATTGCGTTTCGGCGCTCAGGAACCACGCGCGCGCCAAGGACGCCTTCACAACGTGGTATCTTCCCTATTCCTTCGTCCTTCCCCCTCCCCTTCCTCCCACTCTCCCTCGTTCTTCCCCTCCTCCTCTTGCAGGGCCCGCGCCAATTCCAATGGCGGGCAGAGAGATGTACGCCCCGAAGGATTGTCCGCCCGTTCCGGTTTGCCCGTACGTCTAAGCCCGCCGGCCCCAGCAAAGAGAAATAATCCCCCCGAAAGGGGTGTGATCGAAGACGAAGAGGGCGGGCATCGAGGGTGTAGGGTATACGTGTTGAATGACTCGCGGGCAAGTAAGAGCGTACAGCCTTAAAATGGTTGATGTTGTTGTTGTTGTTGTGTTGTTGTTGTTGTTGTTGTTGTTGGTGTTGGTGTTGTTGTTGTTGTTGGTGGTGGTGGTGTTGTTGTTGTTGGTGGTGGTGGTTGTTGTTGTTGTTGTTACTGTTGTTGTTGCTGTCGTTGCTGTGGTTATTGTTGACCCCCCCTCACTGGTGCATGTTTTTTCCTCGACGTTCGCACCCTGTTTTTTGATAGGGAAAGTCTCGGTGCTCAAACTGGGCCCCTGGCCCCCCGGATTACAACAACAACGGCTCCCGCCTGAGACTTCCTCCAAATGTATTCAGGACCCCCGCTCCTGAGACTTCCTCAAGATCGGTGCTCCCGCCTGTGGCTCCCTCGCAATTTAGTCAGAACCCC